TCAAGTGCCGAAGATGAGCGAAGAAAATAAGGAAGAGAAAGATGAGGGCGGTGATTTTTTTTTTTTTTTTTTTTGGGGGGGGGGTGTTTGGGTTTAGTAAGAGTTTTTCGGCACTTGCGACACATTAAGGTCATATATAAGTGCCGGAAGATTAAAGGTGGTACAAGTGTAAAAGAATAACAAACATAAAAAAGAAGGAGAAGAGATTATAAGGACGGTGTGATAGGAAAGTAGGAGCAATCCAGTATCTACACCATAGTACCAGCCAATCACCCACTTAGTAATAATAATATAATAATTACATATATTTAGTGCATATCCACGCCCTGCGGCAAGCTCTCTATACGTCCCACAGCTATCATTTAGTTTGGTTTTTAGTTTTAGTAAAGGTTTTCGCAACTGCATAAGGTCAGATGAGCGCCATAAGATGAGAGGTGTTACAAGAGAGTAACAAACATAAAAAAGAAGAAGGGGAGGTAAGGACGATGGGTGTTTCATAGGAAAGAAGAAGCAATACCACACCAGAGCACCCGCCAACCACCCACTGACAAGATCTTTCGCTGTCAACTTCAAAGGTTGAGTGTGGTGTTTTGTGTCCTTATCGGCAAAGTTCCGTAAGACAGAGGCACGTGCTGTCAGACTAGGCTGATAACACAAACAGCGACACTAGATAACGCTAGGACGTAACATGGCACAGACAGAGACACGTACGTCGCGGGTGGTTGGAGGGTGACACTGACAGGTCCCCCAACTTGTTTTTAATTTTGTTTTAGTTTTAGTAAGAGTTTCACGGCATTTGCAACATAAAAAGGTCATTTAAGTGCCGCAAATGAGAGGTGTTACAAGAGAATAACAATTTTTTTAAAGGAGGAGAGATCAGGACAATAAAGATGTTTGAAAGGAAAGAAGGAGCGAACCACACCTGAGCAACCACCTACCACCTATCCCCCCCCCCCCCCCCATGACAGTCTGAGGAAAAAGGGGCGGGAGATTAAAATTAAAGGGGGTGGAAAGGAGGAAACATGACGATTGTGCACATCCCCAGGTACAAAGTCGAAGTGAAAGATATCCTGTGTCCCACCCTAGCACAGCAATTCATTCATTCTCTCTCTCTCTCTCTCTCTCTCTCTCTCTCTCTCTCTCTCTCTCTCTCGCAAGTGCGCGCGGCGCACATACATACACAGACCATTAAACTCGTCCAAAAAACAAAAACAAAACAGATGGCACAGCAACAGACGCTGCAAACAGCATAGCCTCATCTCTATCACAATATTCATCAATAACAAACTACAACACAACATCTTTCAAACTACCAAAATCAACAGCCAACAATAACAACTAAATTTCAACTCAAACAACAAATAAACTTATACGGGGTGCCCACTACGGCTGGGATCGGCCGATGGGCGATCTCCCCGACTCGATCGCCTCAAAAACAAACGTGTTTGTTTTCAGTTTCAGGCGATCAAGTCGGGCGATCGGTCCGATCCAGCCGTAGTGGGCACCCCGTATTACAATGCAGACTTCACACCAGAAGAACTCACATCACGCACCTCATCTCGGGCCTAAGCAATACATGTAGCGAGCGCCCTGGGACCGGATGAAAAATACACAATCAGACCATAGACACCCACCCACAGAAACACTCACACTTCTTGTACACATATTAGAGATCACAGCGACATGTGGAAGTCGCGTCGCACGCTTTCCCCGCCGACTGACGACTCGCCACGGTCATTCCTATTCACCCAAAACAGGCAAAGACTGCACATATATCCGTCCAACTATAGATATACACCAAACGCCATAACGAGTTGTCTATGTATTATTTTTAAAGCAACTGAGACACCCCCCCACCCCCACCCCCGGGGGCACAGGCACAGATTGGATACCTCGATAATTTTTTCTTTTCAATGTTGCTGTTTTTACGGTCCCATTAAAACAATTCAGATCATTTAGGAGGCGGGTTTCCGGTCATCATGACCTGGGCTGAGAGGGATATGACATGCCACAAAAAGAACAGGATACTCCATTTTAAAAATGTCTTCCCACTCAAAAATAAAACCGGATCTCCTGCGAACGAAAGCGATGCGCCTAACCACCAAACCATAGACGCCAGTCTCCAGTCCCTAAAATTGAGTACAACTTTAGACAAAGACGATAGACCATTTTTTTCAAGTAACCAAGAACCCCCCCCCCCCCAACCCCAACCGGCAGAAACAGACAGAGATAGCCCAGAATCTGAGAGCACCGGTACAAAGCCACTTACCCAGCCCCAGCTCACCGATACGCCCATCACCCCCCACACACACACCCACACACACCACTACAGCTAACACAGATCTCAGTTCTCCATTGACAGGATCAGGTCGAATCGGGTCGATTAATGGCCGCTTCAGTGCACACTCAGAACAGATCTCTCCCTTGTAGTTTCAATTTTCTTTCCCCGTGTTTTTATGCACCCCGCGTAATTTAGCAAAATTTGATCTTTTATTTTTTTGGCATAATTTCTGATTATTTTCCTTTTTTATCATTCTTTGTTAAAATTAACAGAATCGCATAATTTCACATTTTTGGGCTCAGTTTGTATAATTTCATAATTTTTCTTGCATAAAACGACGGGGGCAGAAATTTGACAAGAACGGAAAACTTAGACCAGCGCACGAACGTACTGAACACAGAACTCACCGTTCACAACACAGTCAGTTCCTTAGATAAAAGCCTCTAGTGCCTACTGCCGCATATCGCGGTTGCTAAGATGACAGGTTACTGAATCTTCCAAACTTTGGAAACGTCGATAGCCTTGTGGATCAATCAGTATCAGCCTCTCCAAATCTACACGGTCCATCACCGCATTTCGTTTAAATATATGGCACAGACCTTGTGACTCGTAGGCTACAACAAGTCTTCCGACTGGCTGTACACGTCCGATGGTTCGGCTAGCGGCCTTGTAAAACAAACACGTTCGTTTTTGAAGGTCACAATCGAATTCGACCGAATTGACTAGCCACGATGGTAGCTTTTGCCCCTTCAAGAACAAAAATCTGGCTGGCCCCGACTCGATTCCATTGGCAGCGTGTACTGGATATTTATAACCCAGCCCGAGCTCCCAGAAACCCCCCCCC